GAGTAAACAAAGGCCTACTTGCTGAGTAACTAGGAAGAAGCCAAACACTTGCACTCTGTTCCCATCCCTCTAAGAGTTACAAGAAACTACAAGACCTGTGCCTACTATCTCTTTGGATACGCTATCATACAGCCAATCAACCTAGGCTGCTGCGTAGTTCTGCCAGTCAAATTCTTCTTGCTAGGTAGGTCCTGCAGTTGTTGATTCAGTCGTTCAGCCATGAACATCTACAAACAGACTACTGTAACAATGTTCAGGTACACTGGACCCGTTTTCCAGCAGGTGTTGCTCCAGTGTCCCCACCAATAGATGGAGCCTCCCCGGGAATGCTAGTCGTGGCTGTTCTTATCAGCACCCCTAGCATCAACCTGGGCTGTTCACCCCCAAAAAAAAAAAAAAAAAAAAAAAAAAAACGAAAGAAAGCCTAGCGGGCCCAGGCCCCCGAACCGCTGACAACCGCCCTGATTCCACAAAAAAAAAAGAGAGAGAGAGAAAAAAAAAAAAAAAAACAACGAAAGGCGGAGCAAGTTCCTCAAGCAAAAAAATAAAAAATAAAAAACTATTGGCCTCATGTACCTTCCTGGGCATGCTTGGCGCCTGCCACATAGAGATAGACCACTGGATCCCCAGATCACCATTGAGCAGAGTCTGCTGATGTTCATAGGAGAAGGGACCTGAGGGGGGGCACAGGGATTGGTCCTGTTGGATGGTCCCTGATGCTACCGGCCTTCCCCTAGCCGGTGTCGCCCACCTGCAGGTCGGGAGCAGCCGCCGCATGTTCTCTCGTCGACAACATGCTTGCTGCTACGAGGGGGGTTGCATCCCTACTATTAGTAGTAGTAGTTTTTTTTTTTTTTTTTTTTTTTTTTTTTGTTAACAAAACAACCCGATCGGCTGCTAGGGGTGCTGATAGGAGTAGACACCACTAGCATCGTCGGGGAGGCTCCATGTATTGGTGGGGAGCAGCACCTGCTGGAAATCGGGTCCAGCGTCCCTGTATAATACAACGTGAGAAACAAAGGTAGTGTACGCATGGTTTGTCAGTACGCATGAGGGGCTGGGCAGTGAGTGGCCCACCGCTTTATCGGATCTTTGGTAATGGAGTATTCAGTGAACTATCGCTTATGATATTGATTTCCTGACCTGTTGACAGTCACTTATTGTTTATCTACTATCTATCTGCTCGTTGCCATATGCTGCTGTGTCTGAGTCTGTTAAAGGTGTTCCTGCGTGCGTTTCTGGCCACATATCACGGTGCGCTATATATGATGTGGTTGAGGGTGTTCCTAACTGTGTTGCTAACTGTGTTTGCTATGGAACATGGCATTGCATGTATTCCTGTATCCTGCTGAGTTCCATAGTAGGTTGTGTTGACCGTTATTTTGTATCAGCCGCTGTAAGCCCTAAACCCTACTGTACAAAACTTTGGTAATAATTCTTGTGTGACACCCTATGCCCCAACCCTGTTGTGATACCGTATGCTCCAACAGTGTTGCAGTGGAGCGTTGTCAACCTGTCACTCCTATATCAAGTTATGTTGTCATTGCTTACGTATCAGTACCCTTAAATCCCACCCTACAGTCATCCGGTTCATCGTCTCTTTTGTGGCTTAGTCTGTATTGTCGACATTCCTGATTGCGCTGTGTTCTTGTCCTGATTCTACCTGCAATGGCCTTAACCCATCTGCCCACCCAATCTCCCTTGTGCAACAGACGTCTTAAACCCACAGATGCTCGATCCCTGACGCAGTTACATCTGTCACTCCCGTCTCCAAGTTATGTTGTCGACAGTCTCCCAGTAGTCATTATGGAGAGGCCTCAGGCTATGAATCTCCCACGGAGGTCGCCAGGCGCGGCCGCAGCCGGGGCCGCTAGCCCGCGGCCGGCCGTGCGACTTTGCGGCCGCGTGGCGTCCAGTGTGTGTGGGGGGGGGGG